AATGGTTAAAATGAAAGTCTGGCCTGACTTACCAAGACTGACTAGTCCTTTCTTAAGTACAGCTTTGTTCACTGAATTCAACCTGCGGCTGTACTCAGCTGGACTAGAAATGAATACCAGCAAAATATTTCTTTCTTTCATTCCCCTGTGGTTTCGGTGAGACTTCAGCAATTAATGACTCTTTCAACATCAAAGGGATTCATCCAACTGAAGCTCCAGGTCAGGCCTACTCAGGCTGTATCCTTATTTTTCACCTGGTTTTAGATCAGGGAACTTGATCCCACCTTTCCAAATATCAACTAATTTTTTTAAAGCTTCCTTTAAATACACACACACACTTTTTTGTTTGTTTGTTTGTTAATCCTCATCCAAAGATATTTTTTCCCATTGACTTTCAGAGAGAGTGGAAGGGAGGGGGAGAGACAGAGAGAGAGAAAAAAAACATCGATGGGAGAGGGACACATTGATTGGATGGATCCAGCCAGCAACCAAGGTAGGTGCCCTTGCCGGGAATTGAACATGCGACCCTTCAGTCCGAGGGCTGACACTAACCACTGAGCCACTGGCCAGGGCTTTAAAAAAAATCATATCTTGATGATAATTACTTTGAGCCAGGAACCAATTTTGCAACAATATAACAATCAGGTTAGTAAAAGAATTTAATCCAAGCTGCAAATAGCATTTTGCTTTTTCTAATGGGCCATTGTATTATACCAAATTATGTCTATCCCTTTTCTATGAAAAAGGCTTCTTTTTCTGTAGACTGTCTTATCTAAGTCTAGCTTCCCCCTCAATGACCACACATTTAAATATTTTTAAATATGTTTTTATTGATTTCAGAGAGAGGAAGGGAAGGGAGAGTTAGAAACATCAAACATCAGTGATGAGAGAGAATCGTGGACTGGCTGCCTCCTGCACACCTCTACTGGAGATCGAGCCTACAACCCAGCTGGGGGTCGAATCGTGACCTCCTGATCCATTGGCCGACACTGAACCACTGAGCCACCCCAGCTGGGCCAAATGACCACACATTTAATAGGTACACAGTTTAGCAGTACTGTCTGGTTAAGCAATACTACCAACCCGACCTTAACGATCTTCCACTCATTGTTCCAAGTCAATAGAGGTTGCCTCTTGCACACTGCCCGGGTCAAGGAGAGAATGAGGGCAGGGTGGATTCTCATTCTTGGACAGGATAATCTCTGGGTAATCTTGAAGCCTACTTTGGGGAAAAACAGATGTGGTTCTAAATTGATCCCTCCTCATCTTTCTCAAGTTCTCCCAAAAGCCCAGGCAGGGGCTCTCTTCATGTCCCTCAGAAACAACTGGTCTAGTTAAAGAGTGGAGCTCAAATCAGAAGTTGTTTCCAGTTCTTGCTCTGGTCTAATTCCTTAGTGGTCAAATGAGTTTTGAGGTTGTTTTATCATCTTTTTCGACCTCTGTTCCTCCCTCCGTAAAATGGGGTGAAATCCCTGTCTTGCCTATTTCACAAAGGTATTGTGAGGCTCCCACTAGCTGGTGCATACGCACGTCTCTCAGTCAGCAAACCACTCCGCCTTCTAAAACCCTCACCTGCATTAAACTCCAGCCCCACAGCCTCAGCTACAGGGACACTGTTTTTACATCTAACCCAGCTTGCCTTCTTCCTCTAATTGGAACCTATGTTTTAAATCTGTTTTAAGACAAAGATTTTGTTTGGTCACATGAAAATGCCTTAAATAGGCCATGCTATAATTAGCTCCAGCTGAAGCCTCATTTCCTCAAGTCACTACCGCTGCCTGCCGTCATCTTTCTTCTTTCTTTAATAAACCCTTCCCCCCAAAATAAAATAAAATTAAATAAATCAACGATTCCCTTCCTTGTCTCAGGATGGGCTTCTTGCTCACATGTCCTTTACAAAGGAAATTTCCCTGGGTGGCTGCCCGCTTCCATTTTAAGTAATTTTCCCCCGACTGTCCCAATTTCTTCTGGACAAAAAAAAAAAAAAAAAGGCAGATGCCAAAATTGCTGGTTCATTTCTAAAGAAAACTTGACCCAACCTGTTGTAAAGCTAGCAAGAGGCTTTGATAGTCACATGGCTGGGTTCACCCATCACCCGCTGATAAGCAAAGCTGATTCCCGAGCAAACAAACCCTAGCACTTCAGACTGGTCCGAAGGGCCACATGAAGTGGCTGCCAAAGTTTGATGTATTTTCAACGCCTATTCCTGTAGCAGACGACCCATTTCCTACCCAGGGGCCCCCACCTTCTCTCTTGGCTTTTCGAGTTCTGCAAAACGACAGCACTACTTTTTCTGTTGGTAACTAACACTGATATTATTTCAACAGGAAGTGGTATGGGGGTTCATGCGGCAGGGTGTCTTCCTGTTGCCTGGTTATTTACAACAAAGCAGATTTTCTCTCTCTTAATACTTAAACCACTCGCCAGAAGACTGGCATGTACTCCTTTATGGGTAATAAACAGATACAATGCATAATTCCTAGTCTCAACCGTGTATAATAATTTAGCTTATTCAAAGGCCAAAAGAGTTATAGAAATAGAGTCCATACTAAATCCCCACACCACAAGAATAAAAAAGGGTCCTGGCCCTAGCTGGTTCGGCTCAGTGGATAGAGTGTTGGCCTGTGGACTGAAGGGTCCTGGGTTTGATTCTGGTCAAGGGCACATGCCCAGGTTGTGGGCTCAATTCCCAGTCAGGGGTGTGCAGGAGGCAGCAGATCAATGATTCTCTCTCATCATTGATGTTTCTCTCTCTCTTTCACCCTTCCTCTCTGAAACCAATAAAAATATATTAAAACAAACAAAAAAAAGAGTCCTGGCTGGGTAGCTCAGTTTGTTAGAGCATTACCTAATACGCTAAGGTTGCAGGTTCGATCCCCTATCAGTACACATACAAGAGTCAACCAGTGAATGCATGGATAAGTGAAACAACAACCTCAAGTTTCTTTCTCTCCCTTCCTTTCTCTCTCTCTCTCTCAAACCAACAATAAAAATCAAAAATATTTTTTTCAAAAAAAAAATAATAGAACTCAGATCAGTCACAGAATCAAAAATCTTAGAACCAATGTGACCAAGGGGCCAAGCAACCTTTGGTTAATCAGAAAGGTTTCTTTCAACGCTGGAAAGAAAAACGATCCCTTTCTCCTTACTTGCCCTTAGAAATTTACTGCCAGAAAAATGGATTAGGATCAATGTCAGATGTGCCGTGAATCACAAGAACATTGTGACTCTAGTTTAGCACTGAGCATAGCGTCAACACTGAATACCCTCCCACCGCCAGATGCCCTCGATGTGCCTGCAGCATATGCCAAGTGGGTGCAAAGAAGCAGAAAGGTAAAGCTGGGCCCATAAGGCCTAACAGACCCTCTGAATTTAGCCATACTATCTTTCCAAGGGACTTATTCATCAGATATGTACGGGAAAACATCAAGCTCACACTACTTACTATTTTGTGTAAAACTCACTTAAATTTTATTTTTGTTAATCCTCACCCGAGGATATTTTTCCATTGATTTTTAGAGAGTGAAAGAGAGAAGGAGAGACACAGAGAGAGAAACATCGATGTGAGAGAGACACATCGGTTGGTTGCCTCCTGCACGGTCCCCCAACCAGAGCTGGGGTGGAGCCTGCAAACCCGGTCTGTGCCCTTGACTGGAATTGAACCCGGGACCCTTCAGTCCACGGGCTGACGCTCTATCCACTGAGCCAAACTGGCTAGGGCTACTTAAATTTTTTTTAACTTGTCTCTATAAACCACTTGGATTTAACTCATTGATTCTATTCTTACATAGTGTTACCCTTGGTCTTCTTCCCAGGCAGATCCTAAGTAGGTTAAATACCTTAGATGTTAATCCAAGATATCTTGGACGTGAGTTAAAGACACTTTACGTACATACCTGGCCTATCAAAAAATTGGTGTAATTCTCTGGTAGTCTACCAGATTTCGTCATACTTGGCTGTGAGATTCTGTACAAATGGACCAAATAAACTAACATAGAAGAAAAACAGGTTACTAGGTACACAGTGGTCCTCCCCCGGGTTGTAAATCAGGCTAAGCCACCCGTAAATGAAACATTCGGAAAGGGAAGCTACAGCCACAGAGTCAGAGGGAAAAACATATCTTGAGAGAAGGGGAAGAAACAGCTTCTGCTTGAGGTTCTTCTAAATAGAAGACAGCACTGCTCTTTCCCGCAGGCCTGGAGATGGGCTGTTCTCGTACCCCCTTCCCCTGGCCAAGAGCCCACTCCTCAACAGGAGTAAGATATTCCCTCCTAGACATGCAACACCCTCACTTTTAGGAAGTCTTGCCCCCTCGATTATTTTATCACCTGCAACGCTGCAAGGGATCGTCATCCCACCTCCTGGATAAGCACGTCGATAGGAATGAGCCTACACCAAGAGAGCTGCTAGTCCTCACCACCCGCACCATCACAGATCTGCCTAAAACCCCAGTTCCCTTTTTTCCTCCCCCCAACTCCCACATGCTTCTGAGAGGAACCAGATCCGGGCCAATGGCTGGCATGGAAACCAGAGGGGAGGGAGGGGGGCGCTGGAGGAGGATGGATGAACTTGTCAGCGGTGGGTAGGGGTGGGTAGGGGGATGCATCAAGCTTAGCCTTGAGGTCAGGAGGTGAGGAAAGGCAGACTTCTGAGTCCTGGCCTCTACTTTGGGGAAAGCCGGAGCAGGAAGGGGCTTTTCGCCCATCAGAAGCTCCCAGCGGGTGCCCACCTGTGCCCACGCAGAGCCCTTCCCTCTAGCTTAAGCGCCCACAGCGGTGAAGGAGCTCCACTCCCACCAGCACATAAAGAGGGGACCCATCAGTCACTCGGGGGTCCCACCAAGCCCAAGGGGCCATCCAGCTGACCTGCTACGCTCCAAGGGGCTGCCCCATAAGCCAGGGCGTTCAGACCTGCCCCCCAGTCCCCTCCCTGGACCTCCCTGGAGTCAGGAACACGCAGGGGCCCCCTCCCCGCCCGCGCGCACGGCGCGCGCCGCCTACCCGGAGTTCGCCCTCGGTGCGGTGCAATCCCAGGCGTCGCAGCCCCACGGCCAGGTCGTTGACACACAGGCCGCCGTCGCGGTTGACGTCGAGCGTCTGGAAGAGGCTCCACAGGCGCAGCCTGTGGTCTGGGCCCCCGCAGACGGCACCGCCGCACGGGTCCACAGACGCCGGCGACGAGGCGGACGAGGCGGCGGCGGCGGCGTCCGGCGGCGGGGAAGCCACGCAGCGGCACAAGACACTGCTCACCATCGGGCGCGAGGCTGGGGCGCCGGGCGGCGAGGAGAACGCAGAAGACACGCGGGTATCCTCAGACTGCGAGCGCGGGTTCCGAGATGCCGGCAAACGGGCGGGAGGGGCCGCTTCCGGGAGCCCCGCCTCTCTGGCCACGCCCCTAGCTCGCCGCCGACTAGTCACAGGCCGGCACTGCCACCCGGAGGGGCGGGACCTCTCCAAGGACTGCCCACATCGTCCTTGCCGGCCTGGATCAATAGAGTGGGCGGGGCGATTCCGGCTCAGCCTGGGGCCGATTCAAACTGAGGGAGGCAGGGATTGGCTGAATCGGGCCAAACAGAGGAAATCGCGCCGCTATAGGCAGAAGTCATGTGATTGGCAGGCGGGAGGTCCCGCGTCCAGTTTCCATTGAGTAACTCTGTTTGGACTTCAGAATCGTAAGGATGGGAGGAGAGGTCGTGTCTTCGGTGGGAAATAGGATTTGTGTGAGGAGTAATTGTGAGCTGCATCTCAAACCAGTTTGCGCCCGTGGGTGGAATTATAAATTAATTGGCCAACAGCTCAAGCTGAAAGCACTAGGGATCCGCAGGAGGCCGGGTTTTGATAATCTAGCTCCCTAAACCAATAAACTAGCTAAATTTAATAGGATAATATTCGTGATACTGCTGATTGAACGACAACGAATTTCCAATGGAAGTTAATAAAGACTCAGTGATCGGAGCACTCTGTAGCGACAGGCATACCTTTAGACCAATGATCAAGTCGATCCCGGTAAGTGGGCGTGCTCTGTAGCCGAGCGACAGGTCCAAAGAACCAGTGAGTGTCCGGATATTGAGCCGCGACCAACCGGGACTGCGGGTTCCCCCGGAGCAGCGCTGGGAGGCGGGAAGAGGGGAAGTGGGCGGATCTCCGCACACCCGAGCGGAAGAGGCAGATTCAGGAAGCCATTACGCCGCTGGCTGGCAGCGGCTGGGCCGGTCGGCGCCGGGCCCTACGCACTTTGCGTAACGGGGGGGTTACCAAAGGCCTGGTACTTGGCCTTGGCCAACTCGGCCTATCCCATGTAGGGGGGTGTGCGAGGGGCGAGGCTGAGGAAGAAGAGAAGGGAAATTGGGCGGTTGAAGGGATTATAATTTCTTTAAAAAGAAGGGTAGGGAGAGGCCATGGCCGTCCCAGCCAAGAAGAGGAAGATGAACTTCTCTGAGCGAGAGGTGGAGATCATCGTGGAGGAGCTGGAACTGAAGAAGCACCTGCTGGTGAACCACTTCAACGCCGGGGTCCCGCTGGCTGCCAAGAGCGCGGCCTGGCACGGCATCCTGAGGAGGGTGAACGCTGTGGCCACCTGCCGCAGGGAGCTGCCCGAGGTCAAGAAGAAGTGGTCTGATCTCAAGACCGAGGTCCGTCGCAAGGTTGCCCAAGTCCGGGCGGCTGTGGAGGGTGGCGAGGCCCCAGGGCCCAATGAGGAAGATGGAGCTGGCGGGCCAGGGCCAGGTGGTAGCAGTAGTGGCGGTGGCCCAGCGGTAGCCCCCGTCCTGCTCACCCCCATGCAACAGCGCATCTGCAATCTGCTGGGTGAGGCCACCATCATCAGCCTGCCCAGTGCCACAGAGATCCACCCTGTGGCCCTTGGACCCACGGCTACTGCAGCCGCAGCCACGGTCACCCTGACACAGAGTGAGTGACCTCTCCTGCCCAGTCCAGCGTGCATACATGGGAAGGGCAGCCTGGGGAAGGTTGACTGTACAGGGTCAAAGGTCAGATAGGAGTCTTGGAAGACCATGAGACCTTCCAAGAGCTCCGCAGACAGAAATGATCTTGTTTCTCTCTGGGACTTCCTCAGCACACAGTCTGGGCTTCTGATGAGCTGGGTTGCTCTCAAGTGCGTTTTGCCACCCTTCGTGTCCATGACTGAACTGTGCGGTCCTTGAAGACAAAGACCATGTTTATATCCTCACAGGATTCGCCACAGGGCCTGGCACATATGAAGCAGTCAGAATGTGTTTGTTCAATGAGTAGATAGATGGGAATGGCCATGCCCAAGCCAAACATGGATTCTGGACAGAGAGACAGTCTGGGTTTTCGGTGTGGCAAAGGTTCGTCAGGCACAGTGGAGGAACCTCATGGTTCCTGGTGTTGATCTACTCATTCATTCACTCATCAAACATTAGCATTTATTCTGTGCCAAACCCTGTGCTTGGCACTGGGATTACCAAGGTGTGTAAGACAGAGGCCAATTATAATCTAGTAGCGCAGATAAGACATAACTGAGTAGCTGCAGTGTCAGTTGGGAGAACATAAGAACTCAGAGGAGAAGGGGGGGCTTCTTGATTGGCGGGGACACACAGTTAATGTTGGCATTGAAGGGTGGAGAAGATTCACCCTTCCTCTACGCAGGGAGGCCCAAACAGCCCACCTAGAATCCTTCCAAAGGCTCTCAACTGAAGAACAATGGAAGTGGCGTGGGTTGAACTTTGTAGTTCAGATAAGGGTTTGCACTGGGATCCGTGAACTGCCTCTTTGTGCTAGGTTATAAACTGCACTGATCAGATCAGTGATTCTCAGTGGGGCTTTGGGAATTGGGTATATGTGAGTGCCATCCCCTGCAGTGTCATATTTCTCAAGGATATTGAGGTAGGAAAGAGGATCCGACACTGGCCTAAATCAATTGCTATTCTGGAACAGGAAGAACTCTTAGGTATTCCATTGACCGTGATCAGAAGACAGGGAAGCATTTATTGGACACTTTGCCAGCCCCCTCCCGTCTCCTTTTCCGCTTGGCCATAAGAGACTAGCAGTCAAGAAGGCACTGAAGGAGGTAGGACTACTGCAGCTACAAACAGCTCATGTAGAGGTTCCCGCTCCAGATGCCTGCTGTGTTCCGGTGCCACGGGGAACACGTGACCATGCCTTTATTAGCAGAAGCAGCCGAGTGGGGTGGAATTGAGCACTATGGACTCTGGTGTTGGGGAGACCCGGGTTTGTTTCCTGCACCTGCTGAACAAGCTGTGTGACTTTAGGCAAGTCACTCCATGTTTCTGAGTCTGTTCATTCTCATCTCTGAAAATGAACATGACAGGACTTACCTCTTGATGTCATGAGAATTTGTTGAGCTAATGAGTGCAAAGGGCTTAGTACAGTGCCTGGCACATAGCAGGTACTCTAAATTTTTTGCTAGCATCATTATTAGCATCTTCGCTTTTGCCAGATCTGGGACTGACCCTTTGGTTACCAAATAGATTAAGATTCTAAACCTGGTATGTTCTAGATTTAGTTAGGTATATATATATATAGCTATACATCCAGAGGAGGCCTGAATTCCCCAGAATAGGGCTTAATATGGCCCATCCCACATAACCAGCTTCCCTCTTTCTAGAAAGTGACCTGACACTGCCTTTGCTCTGTCCACAGTCCCCACAGAGACCACCTACCACACGCTGGAGGAGGGGGTGGTCGAGTACTGCACCGCTGAGGCCCCCCCGCCCCTGCCAGCGGAGGCCCCTGTGGAGATGATCGCCCAGCATGCTGACCCCTCAGTCAAGCCACAGGCACTCAAGAGCCGCATTGCCCTCAACTCAGCCAAGCTGATCCAGGAGCAGCGGGTCACCAACCTGCACGTGAAGGAGATCGCCCAGCACCTGGAGCAGCAGAACGACCTGCTGCAGATGATCCGCCGCTCACAGGAGGTGCAGGCCTGCGCCCAGGAGCGCCAGGCTCAGGCCATGGAGGGCACGCAGGCGGCCCTGAGCGTCCTCATCCAAATCCTCCGGCCCATGATCAAAGATTTCCGCCGCTACCTGCAGAGCAACACATCCAACCCTGCCCCCGCCTCTGACCCTGGACAGATGGCCCAGAATGGACAGCCAGACAGCATCATCCCGTGAGGGGAGGGGTCGAGCCAGCCTTCTGCTGTGATTGGATGACACCAGGTGGTCTTGTAAGTGCGTTCTGTAACTGGCCTTTGGCTAGGGCCGGCCACACGGACAGCTCCCTCTTTAATAGACACACAGGAGGTCCACTATTTCTGAGAAAGAAAGGAGACTGGGAAGAGGAACTTGTTGGGGTCCTGAGACCCAAACTCTTACCCCCACCACTGGAGCTGCCTTGTTAAGAACCTTGTTGAGACTGGTTAGCTGGGGGTCAGGCACTGGGGGGCGGGGGGGGGGGCGGACATGTGTTGCCATGAGCCTGGGCTCTTGACATGACCCAGACTCGACCTGGGATCCTTGCAAGGAAGGCTGTCCCTGGGGAATGATCACACAGCCGTGGTTCTGTGCTCAAGTGCCCCACTCTCAGGTACCATCTTTTCAGTAAGATATTGGCAGTGGTGCTGGCAGTAGCACAGTGATATCTTCTTCCTCCCTCGGGAGGCAGAGTGACAGAGAAACCCCACCCTTTCCTCCTCACTGCGCCTCCGTTCTCAGGGGACTCTAATGCCGTGCTCTTCCCCACCCACTCTGTGCACAGCAGGGGCCTTTGGTAGTGCCCTGGGCTGCCTCTGCGACACACCTAGGATACGGTCCACGGGGCTCAGGAATGCTGTATGTGGTGGGGATGGCTTGGCCGCCATCTGGTCTTCCACGGCCTCCCAGGACAGCCCTTTAGTGTTTTGTCCCAAGAGCTCTTGACTCAGCTCAAGCATCAGGCTTTGGGTGCTGTAAAGTTTAGAGAAAGCAACCCAGTGTGGACATTGTTGCCCCACTGCAGTGGGTCTGTGGTGACCTGTTGGCTCCTTCCAGAAGGTTTGCTTCCAGCCAGTTCTGTTTATTCTGTCCATGAACCCCTCCTGGGAAGACCTCCAGGACCTCTGAGGGCCACTCTGGCCACGCCCTTCCTTCTTTCCTCTCTACTGACTGTGCATTTCCAAAACCCTTCAAGAAAACCTGCTCAGCGTCACACCCTGCACTCCCTTCACACACTATTCAGAGCCTTGAGTTCTTTTGAGAACCCCAGTGGCAGGCTGGGTGAATCCGCAGGCCTGATTGGCCCTGAATGTGTGAGGTGGGAGCATTGCTGACCCAAGATGTGGGACCTTTGATGTCTGTGCTTCGGAAGAGCAGACAGACCTCGGAGTCCTGAAGGAGGTGGTGTTCCCTGTTCTGCTTTCTCCCGTTTGTAAGGAGTTTACCCAGATGGCATGTGTCTGTTTCATTTTCAGAATGAAATCTACTGAATCGATTACTGAGACCTTGCATTTTTTTCCAGATCATTTCCCAAGTGTGCCATCTTGCTGCTGGTGCCTTGACCACACATGACTGATGGTTACAACTCAAGGCTCCAGATAAACAACGAAGGTGCTGCCCTTCTGGGCATGTGCACTCAGAATTGCTCGGCTCCACTGTTGCAGTCACAGGAAGGTGCCCCCACAGGCAGTTGGGAGGTGACTCCTGTGCCACCAGTCTCTCCGTGGAGGACATGCAGGGCCAGCTACAGAGCAATGGAGAGGAATCGGGCCTGTGAGGGGGTTGGGTGGTGGAAGAAAAGCTCTTCTCAGTGTGGCTGGAAAGCAGTAGCCCCTGGCAACCTGGGCACCCTCCCTCCCAGGAGCCTGAGGGCCCCAGCAGGGTAGCTGCGGGGACTGCCTGAGGATTTTTTATTTTGGTTTGGTTTTTCTCTGGGGTTAGCAACCTGAGCCAATATTGTGTCTGTTCCAATTGGGTATAAAGAGGAAAGCCTGGATCACTTAAACTGACTGGTTCGTTCCAGGTCATAATTTTAAATTAAAGAAATATCACTTTTTTTTAAATACCCATGTCTGTGTCTTTATTGGTTATACATAGGAGAGATATGTGCTGGCAGAAAGCAGGGGCTGGCATACTATGGCCCACAGGTCAAATCTGGCCCCTACCTGTCTTTGTAAATAAAGTTTTATTGGAACATAGTCACACCCCCTTCACTTATTTTATGTCTTTGGCTGTTTTTGTGCTGCAGTAGCAGAGTCGAACAGTTGTGACAGAGGCTCTTGACCCACAACGCCCAAGTATTTACTCTCTGGCCCTTTACAGAAAGTCTGTCTACTCCTGGTGTGGGGCAGTTTAGACACTGAATGAGAATTGCTCAAGGTGTTTGTCTAACATACCCAAGCCTTGGCCTCGTCCCAAACCCGGAAGAGACTCCTGGAGAGAGAGCTCTAAGAACATACATGGTACATAAGCTCTCTGGGTGATTTCCTGGAGGTTAAGAAATTTGGCTCAGAGAATGGAAGAGTTAAACTCAGGTGAAATGGGAATCGTGCCCCAGGGAGAGCTGCTTCTCAGGAGTTTCTCCAAGCAGAGATTCTCATTTAAGATTGGCCTTTATTCTGGAGGGATCCCAGCCTCCCTGGCCATAGTCATCTGTCCAGTACTTAGTAATAAAAACTGACAGTTATCCAGCCCTACTCTCCAGGTCTTCTAAGCATGACCTCATTGACCCCTTGCAACAGCCCCATGAATTAGATACTAGTATTGGTCTCAGTTTGCAGATGAGAACACTGTGGATCAGAGAGGTTAAACAATTCGCCTAAGGTCACACAGCTACCTTATTCCCTGGGGTGGTCCATGCTCTTAACTACCGCTCTCACCTCTTAACTATTCTAACCTTGCAGCCTGTAGAGGGAAATCAGCTAGAAGTCATTTGAGCCTGACACTGAGGAGTTTCTAAGTCAAAGGAGGAGGCTGAGGAGATGGTTTATGCTTATTATTCTTGGCACTTGAGAGGGAACACTGACCTCTCCTACTCGCTGCAGGCTTTGGACTTATGCATATTAAGAGAGAAAAGGGGAGCCTGGCCAGCGTGGCTCAGTGGTTGAGTCTCAACCTATGAACCAGAAGGTCAGGGTTCGATTCCTGGTCAGAGAGTGCAGGCTCGATCCCCAGTGTGGGGCATGCAGGAGGCAGTCAATCCATGATTCTCTCTCATCGTTGATGTTTCCATCTCTATCCCTCTCCCTTCCTCTCTGAAATCAATAAAAATACATTAAAAAAGAGAGAGAGAGAGAAAAGGGTGCCCTGGCTGGTGTGGCTCAGTGGTAGAGTGTTGGCCCGACCACTGTAGGGTCCCGGGTTCAATTGCCAGTCAAGGGCATGTACCTGGGTTGTGGGTTTGTTCCCTGAAGGGGCAGATGTGGGAGGCAACCAATCGATATGTCTCTCTCACTTCTATGTTTCTCTCTTCCTCTGCCTCTCTCTCTCTCTCTCTCTCTCTCTCTCTCTCTCTCTCTCTAGAGCAGCGGTTCTCAACCTGTGGGTCATGACCCCTTTGGGGGTTGAACGACCCTTTCACAGGGGTCGCCTAAGACCATCGGAATAACATATATAATTACATGTTGTTTTTGTGATTAATCACTATGCTTTAATTATGTTCAATTTGTAACAATGAAAATACATCCTGCATATCAGATATTTACATGACGATTCATAACAGTAGCAAAATTACAGTTATGAAGTAGCAACGAAAATAATTTTATGGTTGGGGGTCACCACAACATGAGGAACTGTATTAAAGGGTCGCGGCATTAGGAAGGTTGAGAACCACTGCTCTAGAGAGTCTTTTCTGGAGATTACAATGGAAGTTTTGTCACAAATGGTTTGAGTCAGTTTACAATCACCCTTTTCTCTCCCTCTCGCTCCCTTCCACTCTCTCTAAAAATCAATGGAAAAACTATCCTCGGGTGAGGATTAACAAAAACAAAAAAGAGGAGAGAGAGAGAGAGAGAGGGAAGGCTAATTTAACAGAGTTAAACCTACCAGATCTTGATGGTGTTGGTGAAGAAGTGTCACTTATATTGCTGAAATGTGGAGTTTTACATTGTTAAAGAGAAAATTACAGGCCCAAAATGGCGTCACTTTTGCTAAAAGCCCATGATACAAAGCTAGACTTAATACCTGATCTAACGGCAGTTTCAACCTCTCCCAGAAATGTAATCTTAAGCAATCTAGAATGTTCTGGTCAAGCATGGGTAAGATCATCTGTCACCTGGGCCCTCTCCATTCCCCGCAGCCACCCAGAAAGAAGAGGCAGTCTGCCTGATAAAAACCCTTGCCATTCCCTTCCCCCAAAGATGTTCTAGTCTGGAAATAATCCTTTCTTTTCTTTTGTTACTCACTCCCTTGCCTCCGCCTGGTTTCTATAAAAACCTCCTCTTGTGTACAACCCCTTGGAGCACCCTTCTAGTTGCTAGGTGGGATGCCGCCCTCCTCATGAATCACTCAGTAAAACCAGCTAGATCTCCAAATGTATTTACTCAGTTGAACTGGGCTTTTTAATAACGTAAAAGAAAATCCTCTAAGCCACTGAAGCTTGCTCTTCCAAGCATTGAAACCTTTTACATTTTAAACTACTTTGATGGACGTCTTTCAAAAAGATGTCCTTTGTGAACTGTATTTGACCCAGCGGCGTCTTATTCAATAGAGTTTGCACAACAGGCCTGAGAGGCAGTGCTGCCTCGTGGGGAGCTAGTGGGCTCAGGCAGGTGTGGGCTTGAGATAGGCTCCACCCATTACTCTCTCAGCATTTCGGGGCCCCAGTTTTCTCGATTCCAAAATGAGGATGATGCCAGGGTACAGAAGCACTGCGAGGGCTGGATAGAAGTAGGTCCCATGTATTGAGCGATTGCTACGTCCATAGCAGGTGTGCAGTAACTACTGGCCGCTCTCCTCACTATTCCAGTGTCTGATACGCCAGCAAGGAAATAGGAGTCTTTTCTGGAGATCACAATGGGAGCTTTGTCACAAGTGACAGATTTGCGTCAGATTACAAAAGCTCTGACCCAGGAAGTAGAGGGTGCGGGGCCCAGGGAACAGAGGCTGGGATTCAAGGCAGCCTGGGGCATGGGAGCCCAGGCCAGTACAGGGAAGAGCTGGACACTGGGAGGCTCTTGCTACAAGTGCTCTTTTAAAAAAAAAAAATATATATATATATATATATATATATATATATATATATTGATTTCAGAGAGGAAGGGAGAGGGAGAAAGAGATAGAAACATCAACGAAGAGAGAGAATCATTGATCAGCTGCCCCCTGCCCACCCTCTACTGGGGATCGGGCCCACAACTCAGGCATGTGCCCCTGAGTGGAATCGAACCCAGGACCCTTCAGTCCTCAGTCTGACGCTCTATCCACTGAGCCAAACTGGCTAGGGCCAAGTGCTCTTAAAGAGGTGGGTTGAGCAAGTTGTCAGAAGCTGACCTGCCACCTGTCACAGCAGTCCATTAAGACAATAAGCCAAACCTGGCCGGTGTAGCTGGGTGGTTGAGCATCCACCCATGAACCAGGAAGTCATAGTTTGATTCCCAGTCAGGGCACATGCCCAGGTTGTGGGCACGATCCCCAGGAGGGGGCGGACAGGAGGCAGCAGATCAATGATTTTCTCTCCTCATTGATCTTTCTCTCTCTCTCTCTGAAATCAATATAAACATAACTTTTTTAAAAAGACACTAAGCCAAAATGAGAGTAACAGACAGGCCTGTGATCACTTACTGTGATGCCATAAGCAAGAGGAGAAATGCCAGCTCCCCAGTGTTCCACGTCCCACGGCACAGCGCCAGGCAAGGGTCAGATGTGTTGCGGGTGGGGAGTCACCGCTGAGGGAACCCCCAACAAAACACACCTGCTGTTTTCTGGACTTGGGTGCGTGTTGGGGGTGAGGAGGGGGAAGGGCTAGGAGTGGAAAAGTACTGAGTAATGAGTCAGAGCAAAGTCTCCCCACGGCTCCCAATAAGTAGGTCTTGGCAAAGGGACCCGGGGAAGGCTTTGCATGGAGGCACCTGGGCTAGGAATGCAGCTGTGCATAAGAGCTTGGCCAGCCACGGGCCTCCTCCTGGACTGCAGCTCCCCTCTGAGACTGCAGAGCCCTGGCTGGGCCCCAAGGCTGTGTGGAGAGGGCAGTGCCCCGCTGTGAGGCCTGTCAGGTAAAACCTCTGTAGCGGCCTATGGCCTATGGCCGGGCCCTGAAAGATCACACGTAGGTTTGTGCCAGGAGCTGGACTTCTCACAAGTGCCAGGTCTTTGGCGTCCGTGTGCCATGGCGTGGGGTCATATAATTTCCCCAAGGCTTGGCTTCCTCATCTAGGAATCCCTCTCCAATGAGGCCGATGTGAGACGTGAAGTCAGTGCCTACAGAACACTTAGCACGGAGCTTGGAAATCTCTCTGAAAAGACTGCCTGAGCCTGGAGAGATTCTAGACAGTTGGTGGAAGGTGGCCAGGGGGCTGCTAAGAGGAACAGGCAGGGACACACCCACTCTTAGGTTAGAGCTGATGAGCTAAACTCGGTAGGACGTTTACAAAGAGGGATGGGGTTCTGGAAATGGCCTGTCCAGCATACGCTTGTGCTGGAATGTGCCAGTTCTCGCCAACTCAGGTCACTTTCTCTGCCCGCTTCTCCCCCCTGGCCAACCCCTGGGCAGCCCTCAGGGCTCAGCCTGGACATCACTTCCTCAAAGACTCTCAACCACCCGCCAGCCCAGGTAGGCCCTCCCCTGTGGGGCACTCACACGGCTGCTCCAACAGTGTCTCCCTCTCATCCCGCGTGGACTTGCTTGGTTTTTGACTGATCCCCTCACTGGGAGCTGCGTGGCTTCAGTGACCTCTAGCCCAGCTCTGTGAATGGCATCTTCATTCCCCAGTTGCCCAAGTCTGAAGCCACTGTCTCACCCCCACCCCCACATCCACTAGTTGTTAAGACTCCTCCGTCTGCCCTAGCCGGTTTGTCTCAGTGGATAGAGCATCAGCCTGCGGACTGAAGGGTCCTGGGTTCGATTCCAGTCAAGGGCTCATGCCAGGGTTTCGGGCTCGATCCCCAGTAGGGGGTGTGCAGGAGGCAGCTGATCAATGATTCTCTCTCATCATTGATGTTTCTATCATTCTCTTCCTCTCCCTTCCTCTCTTAAATCAATTAAAAAATATACATTAAAAAAAAAGACTCCTCGCCCTGACCAGTTTGGCTCAGTGGATAGAGTGTCAGCCTGCGGACTGAAGGGTCCCAGGTTCGATTCCGGTCAAGGGCATGTACCTTGGTTGCGGGCACATACCCAGTAGGGAGTGTGCGGGAGGCAGCTGATCAATGTTTCTCTCTCATTGATGTTTCTAACTCTCTATCCCTCTCCTTACTCTCTGTAAAAAATCAATAAAAATATATTTAAAAAAAAAAAGACTCCTCCTCCTGATATCCCTCAAATCGCTCCCCACTCAGTTCCTTCTTCCTCTAGTCCAATCTCACCCCCTCTCTCGCCTGGGTTACCCACAGCAGCCCCCTCACTGGCCTTGCCTGCCCCCAGGCCCTTCTGAGGGAGGTCTTCAGGCCCCACTCCCTGTTGCCTCCCTGGAGGGGGAGGTGTTACTGGCATCCAATCTCTTGACTCAAAGCTATTGAAAATGAAGTAGCTTCAATGGGTTCTTTTTCAAAATTTAGGGGAGGTCCCAAATTTCCCTTGCCTCCTGATTGGTGGACTGGAGGGCGTCCTCACGCCCCCAGTGACTTCCCTTATGTCTCAGGGTGAAGTACAGGCTTTTGAACGTGACCTACAGAGGCCTTTCATTCTTCCCACCTTGTTCTCTGGTCAGCCACACTGAAAGTTTACTTCCTTGTCGATTATATCTATAAAACTGGAGAAAATTTCCCAAAAAAGAAAAAAATAATAAAGTTTACTTTCTTAACGATGTCAGGCTCTTTTTCTACCCTCCAAACCTTTGCCTTTGCAGTTTCCCGTTCTGAGAACAACTTTCTTCCTCATCACTTTCCTAACTCTTATTAATCCTTCACATCAGCTTGGGCAACACTTCCTCCTGGGAGCCCTCTGGGATCACACCCTGTGTTTCCTCTCTCACGTGTTCATCACACCCTACTGTAATCACACTTAAATGCCTGGATCCTGCTATAGGAGGGTTTCTCAGCCTCAGTGCAAGAATCCTCTGGGGCTGGATCATTCCTTGTCGTGGGGCAGTTGTAGGATGGTTCGGAGTATGGCTGACCTCTATACACTGGATGCCAGGAACACTTCCCCCTCCAGTTGCCTATTGCCCCCTGGAGGTGGGTAGAATCTCCCCCAGTGAAGAACAAATGTCCTATGGCAATAGCTTCTGTCTTTTTATTTATTTATTTTTAATATATTTTATTTCTTACAGAGGGGAAGGGAGAGAGATAGAGAGTTAGAAACATCGATGAGAGAGAAACATTGATCAGCTGCCTCCTGCACATCTCCTACTAGGGATGTGCCCGCAACCAAGGTACATGCCCTTGACCGGAATCGAACTTGGAACCTCTCAGTCCACAGGCCGATGCTCTATCCACTGAGCCAAACCGGTTAGGGCAGCTTCTGTCTTTTTTGTAGTTACTTTCCAAGTGCATAGCGCAGTTCCGGAACAGGTATTTAATACCTTGCATCGCGGTGTTGGTTGAATCGAGCGCCGGCAGCATTCCTGTAAGATGTTTTCCATTTGCCCCATTTGACAGATGAGGAGACTGATGGTGATACTCACTTGGCGGCACGTCATTTGTAAAGACCGCAGCTGGGAGTCTCCCCCAGGTGTGCTCGGCAGCACAGCCCCCTCTTTGTGAGTCAACCTCCCGTGACCGTGAGCATGAATCAGGCTTCCAGAGCTGCGCCTGGACCCTGGACCTGTGTCAGGGCCTCAGGGGCCCCACCCTGGGTGCTCTGCCTCGCCGCAGGGCTGTGACCTTGGGCAGGTGTGTCTCCCCACTAGGCATTGGGTGTCCCCTCCTCTCGGTCCTTGCTTCTGAGGGTGCAGAGAGGATCAGATAAGATACATGAAGTAGATGAGTGATGTGAGGGGCTGTGCCAGGTGACGGTGACGTGGAGCCCAGAGCCACACACAGGGCCTGGCCCCACGGTAGGTAATGCATATGAAGAAATGAGGAGGCAGGAAGGGGCCCACCTGAGGATCCCCCCCCAGCACATTCTCCAAAAAGCCCTGCTAATCCTGACGTCACAAACCACAAACTCAAATGCCTGCAGCCTTCAGCCATGCAGATAAGAGTCCCTCGGCTCAGTTATTCTCCCCCCACCCCCCCGCCCCGCCTCCCCACACACACCACCACCACCACCTCCTGCCCCAGCATCTACACAAGGTTGGCAGGATGGAGGCTGAGCTAGGCTTCAGGAAATGCTGACAGTCAGGAATGTGGGCCCAGCCTGCCAGATATTCTCTTTTCACAAAAGCGGCCAGAAATCTGGGCTTTTATGTAAGATGTCCCAGTTTAAACATATTGACGAGTAAATATTTGCAAATCTTGTGCAAGCCAAACAAAACACACCTTGGGCTAGCATCAATCGTGAAAGGCAGTTTGCAGGCCCTGCACTTAACCTTCTGGGGGCCGGTTTGTACCCCTCAGGAGGAGGCAGAGGTTGGGAGGCAGGAGGCCTGGGTGCCAGATCCCTCTTTCTCTTGCACCTCGGTCTCCCCATCCATATGTTGGGGGTTGGCCATCCCAGCTGGATTGGTCCCTGGCATGGGTGCCCCTCCTTCGCTCAGGCCAGGCCTGACTCACCGGCAGGACCTGGGCTGGGTTCTTGGCTTTGTCCAAAGCTGAGTCAGTCTTGACAAAGGTGGCAATGATACTCACATGCCACCCGCCACAGGGGACCCCACGGAGGCTAAGGCTGGTAGAAGCACTGTTTCCAGGCAGCCTCCAACAGGGTCCTATCTGGGTGGGATTTGGGCCAGAGACCTCCGTGGTCTCTGCTGACTGTCTTTAGTGCCTGCTCAGCACCCAGGGCTCCTCCTGGCTGTGTGGCACCCCGTTTTTGTTGGAGGAACCACCCTTCCTCCACACTCAGTCCATGCAGTTTGAGGGAGGGATCCCAATTCTGGCTTCAGCGATAAGGATGAGGCCCAGGAATCTCTTTAAAATTCAGAAGTGGAGCCCTAACTGGTTTGGCTCAGTGGATAGAGCGTCGGCCTGCGGACTCAAGGGTCCCAGGTTCGATTCCAGTGAAGGGCATGTACCTTGGTTGCGGGCACATACCCAGTAGGGAGTGTGCAGGAGGCAGCTGATTGATGTTTCTCTCTCATCGATGTTTCTGACTCTCTATCCCTCTCCCTTCCTCTCTGTAAAAAATCAAAATATATTTTAAAAGATTCAGAAGTGGAAGCTGTGGTCCTTGGGTGGGTCTGGTGGGGCCCAGTTGTCTGTATTTTTTATACTTTTATTGAGGTTGAATCAGCATACAATTAACCCCATATGTTTAACAATTTGATGTGTTTGTAAGTATATCTGTGAAGCCATCACCACAATTTATGACAATGAGAATGTCAGGGAATATCTCCTTCACAACCAAGTTTCCTGGTGCTATTTTTTCTATTTATTTTATTTTGCTGCAAAAAGCTTTATTTGTTTTTC